TGTCACTTATTTATAACATTCATCTTGGAGTTAAAATTGGGAATTATCTAGATGTTACAAGAGTCTTTAGATTCTTGCTATCTTTTTAGATTGGAGAAATAGAGTTGTAGGATTGTAAATGTAAACTTCGGAGATCATGTGTAAGAAATAATGGAGGGGTGATTGTTAGAACAACATTATATTTAAAATGAAATTGTTACCAATTCAGGACCCCAACAAATTCAAAAGGCTGTTAGGTTATTTTATGGGTATGTTACAAAGCATTTGTCTGGTTATATCATGGTGATTATGGGAGTTCATCTTTATGAAGTCTAAGAAAAGTAAATAACCTGTTATATTAGGCTATCTAAGACTCACCGAAAAGGTCAACAAATGTCTTTGCTAGGTGGTTAATTTGCGAGAAGCTGAACGGAAACTGCAGTTACAGAATGAAGAAATTAAAATGAAAGTTCTGGAACGGGATAATACAGTTCGTGAGTTGGAATCTGCACTGGAACATCTGAAATTGCAGTGTGACCGGAGACTGACGCTCCAGCAAAAGGAACATGAGCAAAAAATGCAGCTGCTCTTACATCATTTCAAAGGTACCTGCCTCTTCTTGTCAGCTGTGTAAAGGTGATGTGTAGGAGGAGGATTGGGAAAGGAAGCTAGGATAGAATTGGATCACTTAAAAGCCCATCATGGGGGGAGGGTATAGCTCAAGTGGTATAGTGCATGCTTAGCAAGCATGAGGTCCTGGGTTCAATCCCTGGTACCTCCTCCAAATGAATAAATAAATGAATAAATAAAATTTAAAAACCTAATTACCTCCCCCTGCCAAAAAAAAAAAAAAGATAAAAAAAGAAAGCCCAACATGCATAAATAGTTACTACTTACGGGTGTTTTGTGCTTTACATGTTTTGGTCCACATGCTGGGACAGTTGACTTTGATGTCAAGCTGTTTGTGCTTGAAATGGCATCCCCTCTGCCTGTCCCCAGCGCCACAACTGCTGCAATCCTGTTAATTTATTTTTGGTCTAGTTTTCATGTAGGAATGTGGGGTGACTTCTGGCTTGGTGGTGTACAGTTGAAAAGGTCCTGTCTCCCAAGGGTATAGAATCCGGATATTTAAATTACTTTCCCTTCATAAAATTAAAGTGATAGGTTCTGTCAGATTTCTGGTTATATTTCTTGTTATAAGTATCAGTCAGTTGTAAATTTTATGCATTAAGGTTATAGCTAAGGTCAAAATTAGTCTACCATTGAAGGGCACACACTGTTACCAGTGCACAGTAGTTCAGCTGTCAACTCTGGTGTAGAAGGAGTTGTCACAGCAGTTGGTCCTCACCATACGGCTTATGGCTGGTACACAAACAGTTGCTATGGCAACAAAATCACTGCCTAGCAATACTGGTAATGCTTCAGTCCAGGCTGCTAAGCTGCCAGTCTTGATTCTTGTGAATCTACAGCTGGAAATGACTTAAAAAGGATCTGGAAGAAGCAACCTGAGAAAGCAGAAGATTGAAAAATATATGCATTTGAGTGTTAAGACAATTTGCCTCTAAGTTAATTCTATAACCAGTTAATTAGCAACCAGTTGCTTGATGACAGATTTCCTTGACAGGATTCCAGTTGTTATTTCATGCAAACATGCTCTCCTTACCTTATGTTAATTGTCTTAAGTCTCTAAGAGTGATATTTTAATAGAATTTTTAATATGTTTTTCAAGTGATTGGCATTGTATCACAAAAGCTCATGCTTTAATCAAATGAAAACATTTTAAAAATTACTCATTTCTATAGCTGGGACAAGTTTTTCATAACAAAGTTGTTAACTGAGAAATATTAACAATTTATGAATTTTCTAATTTCAACTGAATATAGGATGTAAAATTAAGTTGATTCTAATGATATCCTTCATGGGGATTCTGACTTATGATACTATTAATTTAAAAAAATTTAACCAGGATGATGGATTAATATAAAATATACAATATACTTAGATCAATTTTTATAAAACAGTTATAATAAAAGAAAATTATAAACCAATAGGGCCATTTTATAAACTTACCAGTAAGAAAGAGTAAGTCTGAAAGTGTGTATCTCTGAAGGTCAGTAATCTGGGTTTTACTGGTTCTAGAACATAATCCAAATGGATACAGTTTTGGACATTCCTAAATATTAATTAGAAGCTTTAAGTTATTGTAGCATAAACTAAAACTTTGCTTGTGTTTTTCCCCCTCTTCTCCTTCTTTAAATGGTGTTTTCCTTTGTAATTTAATCTCTGTAGCCTCTTTTGAAAGGTTTCTATTTTTTGTGGGTTTTTTTGGCTGTATATTTCTTGAGCCTATAAACTTCAGGCTTACGACTTTCCACATATCCATAGTTCCTAATATAAACTAATGCAGCTAGTGGACAGAGTTCCAAATGTGAACCTTAACTTCTGCTGTTCTGAGGATAAATCTAGTTAGTAGTGACTCAAAAAGTGTTTATGAATCATGAAAAATGTTGTAGTTGATAGGGGTTAGGGTGGAGAAGGGCTCTGTCTTAACTTCGAAAAATTTTACAGACAGAAGAACTCAAATTGTAGCTGAAAACAAATCCATTGAGGTAACAGATACATGTAACACTTCTGCCCTTTAAATATAGTCTGGGAGCTCTGTTAGAACATAATTTTCAATAATTTATCTTAAACTGATTTTAAATGTAAATTTCTATTTTATAGAGCAAGATGGGGAAGGCATTGTGGAAACTTTAAAAAATTATGAAGATAAAATCCAGCAGCTGGAAAGAGATCTTTATTTCTATAAGAAAACCAGCAGAGATCTTAAGAAGAAACTTAAGGAACTGTTAGGGGAAGCAATTCGGCGGCAACTAGCACCATCAGAAAGTAAGAGATTTAGTGTTACTTGTCATGCTGACACCATAGCATGGTTTATAGTGGAGCCTTTCCCAATTGATAGGTTATTTAGAATTAGATATTTAACTTCTGTTTGTCTCTGTAAACAAACAGTTGTCTAGTCTATGTATAAGAATCACTGGAGAAGTGCATGAATGAACAAATGTGTATGTGGAAGGAAATGATCATTTATTGGATTGCCTGCCACGTAGCTGGGGCTTTTGCATTCCCTAACTCACTTAATCCTTAAAATACCCCTATAATATGGAATAGCTATTGTTTTCCTGTTTTATGGTAAATGAACCCTTCTGAATATCACAAAAAAGTAAACTAAATAGTGAATAATAAAAGTAAAGGTAAAATAATATTGTATATATTTCTAAATTGGGTATTTTCATACTATGACCCCTGAAAATTAAAAGATATAATAAAACCCATGTTGAGACAAAGATGTTTTCTTGCATAATTATATGTAGATATGTAGAAATACCACCTTCCTCAATGAAATGATAAAACATGAAAAATAACTTTGCAAAAGTAAAAAGTGCCATGAAGGTGATATAGTGCTATGATTAAAACGGATCGATTGTCTGAGGGGGAGGGTATAGCTCAGCAGCTGAGCCCAGGGGTAGAGTACCTGCACAGCATGCGTGAGGTCCTGGCTTCAATCCCAAGTGCCTCAATTTAAATAAATAAATAAACCTAATTACCTTCCCCCTAAAAAACAAAATTAATTAAATTAAATTAAATTTTAAAAAAAGATTGCCTTTAAGCCCACCAATAGAGAGGAATCAATATTTCTAAAGTACTCATTTTATGAAAGAATTAGCTTTCCTTTAGAGAAGTATTCTTCTAATAACTTAAGTATGGCTTTTGAAAAGTGACTTTACAGCCTTTTAGTAACACAGCTATTTTGTACTTATAAAGAAAACTGCTGAAAGGTGGGTACAATAATATGTAAAGAGTACACCTAAAACTAATATAATGTTATATATCAATTGTATCTCAAAACAGATAATTATAAAAATGAAACCATATTTTATTTTTTGACTATAAAAAGCAATATATAGTCATTATAGAAAACTTTGAAATTGTAGAAAAAAATCACCCATAATCCTACCTACAACTATTAACATTTCAGCTTAATTCTTTTCAATATTTTCCCCATGATTTAAAAAAATTCAGCTGGACTCATATTGGGGTATAGCTTGTACTATATCCTATCTCAAAATGCTGCTCTAATGTGATGACATTTAATAAGACTTGTTTGAATTATAAAATATAGCAATTTAAATATATCAAAATTTTGAGTTCCCTAAAATGTATTCTATGTTTAATAATCAGTATCCTAGTTAATGCATAAGTGTCTTGGTATTCAGTTGATTGGTTTTTGATATTAATCTTTTCACTGTCTGCCTACCAGATTTGTGTTTACCTGCTTTGAATATTTTTGGCATTTTCAGATAGCAGAAAAGTTAATCTTTAGGCTAAAATATCTTGGTCACTTCTTGATCATGCTTCTGTTATAATGCATCTGTTTTCTAACATTTTGTGAGGATAAAATCGGTTTATATGGACATACAGTCTACATACTTGTTTAAGTATTTAAAACTCTATCCTTATAAAACTCTGTGAGGATACTAGAGTCAGAAGATCTGGTTGGAATACTAACTTCTTTTACTGGCTGTGTGACTATGGGTGAATTAATCTTCAGTTTTCCCCCTCAATGGTAAAATTCTGGAAGAGGGAAACTTTCTGTTGTGAGGACTCTAAGAGGCTTTTGAAGTGAGCCTTTCCAATGAGCTCATCTCTGCTCTCATATGATCCTTAAAAATTACGATGCCTGGCTCCCTTCCCCAGACACTGGGTATCAGAGTTTTTAAAAAGCTTCCAGCAAAGTTTGGGAGTCACTGTGATCACTCTGGTCGACTTTGTGAGTATCTGCTAATTCCACATGAAGATCTATGTCATTTGCTAGTTTAGGTTTTTTGTTTGTTAGAAGAATTTTAAAAACTAGAAAATGTTTTCCCTTTTTCTTTCTTTTTTTTAATTGAGGTATAGTTGATGTCCAATATTATATAAGTTTCAAGTGTACAACAAAGTTGTTCACAATTTTTAAAGGTTATATATAACATCAAATATGTTTTAAACCAGGGGTCACAAACTAGAATGCCTGTGGGAATCGGGAAGCCACAGTGAGCAGTGGGACTGTAGCAGTTGTCTAAATTGGCAGGGGCAGCTCTGCCCAGCTGCTGTTGCCCGGGAAAAATTATCAGTTCTTCTCATTTTTCTATAAAAGCTGGAAAATTGTATTTTTATATGAGACTTTCCACTTTTTAAATTTTGCATCACATGTTATTTTATAGGCTAAGTAAAACATGTCTGTGGGCCAGATTTGGCTTGGGAGCTACCAATGTACAACTCCTGTTTTTAAATTTGGTATTCACAGGACCAGAAGTGTATTAATTGCATCATCAACATATGTTAAAGTTAGCATTTTTCTCTGCATTAGGTCTGGTATCTATATGGACTTCCTCTAAGTAAGTTTTTGTCTTTGATATTATATGATTCTCTGATTTGAGGGCCTCAGGCTTCGATCTCTTCACTCCTGTCACTCGTTCCAGCGGGGTGTGCTGTCTATTCCATTTTGATGGTGGAAGCTGTGGCATGTACCCCAGAATACATTCAGACAGTAGAACCCTGCTCTCATGCTGGGAGTGCCAGCCAGGAGTAGATTTTCACACACAGAATGCCAAGTCTCAGAAGATTCCCTGGAAATATGACCAGGTTTTGGAATGTGATTCACCAGTGGCAAACCCAGAAGAGGGCAAGTGTGGAAGGGCACCAGAGAGGCCTAAAGCACTCCTGTGTTTCCAGGGAGTACCAAAATCTCCTGAAGACTATTTCTCAACTTTTTCCCATTAATTATTAGCTCTCAGTCCTTCGCATGCAAGATGCCTCTACATGAAATAAGAATAATTCATATTTACACTTCTATTTGTCTCAAAGAAGTCATTTAACAAATAGAGTTGAAAGATTATAATTTATATTGAGTGATAATAACGTAGTTATGTTAGGATTTCATGATTAAGATACCTGTTTTTGAGGAAACCTCTAATTTTTTCCCTGCTCTTTGGATTATTTTTAGATCATGATGCTGGAGATAGAGTCCAGAACCCAGACGAAGCAGGCGTGG